CAAAACAAAACAACAACACAAAAACAAACCCCAAACAATAAATCATGGCAACTAAAAAAATAAAGCAAAAGATTTTCACGTTTGTTCGTTTGTGAGTGTAGCATAATATATATATATATAAATACATATGTATGAACATTTTTATGTTTGTATGGACGTATGTATGTTCGTATGTACGAACAAGAAGCCTTAAAATAAGTCACTACCCTGACTATGAGGGAATTGTCGTACAAGAATGAAACTTGAGAAATATTATGATCTCTTTCTTTAGAACGCTGTATATGGACTTTGGGAAATTTCAATAGATGAGCGATGAAAACTTAAGAGCAGTTAGTTTTAGCGAACATAGCTCTTGAATACCAAAGGATAATACACCATGATACAAGACAATGCCCCAATGCACAGAGCGAGCGCTGAAGGCAACCCAGATGAAAGCAGTGTGGCTATGAAATAATTCTTCCGCACACACGCTATTCAGCGGACACGGGGCGGAAGGGGATTTAAGGTTGACCAAGTGCAATATTAATTATGAAGGCTAGTTTTAGATTATTCTGCCTGATTTTTTTTCCCCAAATGTCTTTGTGTTTGATAATGAAGATTTTTTTGTGTTCCTATATTGGGTAACTGTTGGTTTTAGTGGTGGTGGTCGGTTACAATAATTGGCTTTTGTGATGTGGCTCTTGAGGTTTGTAAATGAGCAGGTTACTGAGTTTGTGTATGTCATAGACCTGTATATTATATATTACCATAGTCTCTGAACTCGGACGTATATAATGTTCTCTATGGAACGCACCATTTAACCTAATTTGGGATCAAATAAAGGACAAGGAGAGAAATGTTGTGTGCACTCCCGACTATAATAGCGAGACTGCTGTTTTGCCCTTCATTTTGGGCGCTCGTGGTTCCTCCCGTCGAGGCAAAGTTTTTATAGAGAGCGACCATGACAGTATGCTGTCTACGATTTCATAATTAAAGTCTATGGTGTCACTTCACTTTGGTGATGACGGGGGTGAGGATGTTTTGTGGTTTCCATATTGCTTAACATTAAGTATCTGTGAGCTCAGCAGTTCTCTTTTTTTTTACACAATTATTTTTAAAGGAATATAGTCAGCCGGAGACTAAGATTTCTATAGCACACACAAGAACAAAATATTATAATGATGTTTATGAAGGTTTGAAGAGGAATGATTTTGGGAAGAAATGAGGGAGGGGTGGGGGGGGGGGGG